CGCGGCGGCCCCCCGCCCTGTGTGCAGGGATTGGCGCCGCCTGTGGCCAGAACCAGAGTAACGGGACTCCAGGCCTCCGGTCGCTGTCCGGACGTGAGAGGAGTTGGTGTCAGCGCTGAGCACAAAGCGGAGGGCCGGAGCCTGGCCCCGCGCGTGCACCATGCCCTACCTGCTCATCAGCACCCAGATCCGCATGGTGAGTACCCTCCGCAACAGGACTTGAAGCCGGTCCCGCACGGGGATGGGGTGGGGGCGGGGGGGGGGGCAGCGACCGCGCCTTCGTGGCCCCCTCCCCGGCAGCACCCATCTGGGCTGGGCCGGCGCCCACTGGACACGCCCCTTCAGGGGCGGAGAGGGAGCTGAGCAACACGACTCAGCCGCGCCTGGGACTGGGGAGCTCTGGCCAGCTTGGATCCTTCGTGTGCGAAGGGGGCCCGGTGAGAGCGTCTCTGCAACTGGGCAACCTCTGGCGCTTCTGGCTCCTGCCCTGCCTGGCCTCTCACATGTACCACCCCATGCCAGACACCGACCCACACTGCGGGGGCTGCGGGGTGGGAGGAACCCAAAAGTAACCCGGAAAGAGGTTTGGAAAAGGAAAGGAGCTAAAGCCCCGTGCAGGTGCCCAGTCCTTGGTCCACGGCAGCCACTGCCTGCACCTTAGACCTTCCAGGGAGGGCCGCCCCTGAAGCTCTGGCAGAGGAAGAGAACTCCCTGCTGGTGAAGAAAGGAGAGGCAGGGGCCGCGGGGTGAGCGGTGGGAAGAACCGTCCGGGAGTCAGACCTTGTGCCCCCTTCTCTGGGTGCAGGTTCCTCGTCTGTAAAAAGGAGGTGCTAGTGGCCCCAGGAACCCCCATTCAGCTTCTGAGTGATATGACTGGGCCTCTAGGGGAGCAGCAGCCACTCTAGGGACTCAGCAGAGGGTACACAGCTCTGATGGGCGGAAGGATAAGGCGAGTTCCCCACTTCTTGAAAGTGCCCTAGGGCAGAAGTTTGAGAACCAGTCCCCTGTGTGTAAAATGTGGGTTCCTGGGCCCCTCCCCAGGCCCTGGAAACGCCATGTCTAGGGCTTGGGAATCTATACTTGGAAATGTCCTCCCGGGTGATTTCCCTTTAAAAGAAACAAATTACACAGTTTTATTGATATATAGTGCACACACCACAGAATTTACCAATTTAAAATGTACAATTTGGGAACCAGCAAATGGTATAATGATTACATCACTGGACTCCTATGTAGTGGACTGCAGTTCCAGCCCTGGACCTAGCAGCTTCAAACTTACGCCCGGTACATGTGTGTGCATACCCAAAATCCCGAGAGGAGAATGAAGGAGGAGGAATTGCAGTGTGGCCATCCCCCCAGGAGGTGATTTCTCACTCTCTCTGTCTCTGGCGAGCTCATGTGCCCTGTTGCAAACAAAAACAAAAACATACAAACTCAGAAATAAATAAATAAATAATAAAATGTATAATCCAGGGCCAACAGGTGGCATGGTGGTTAAGGCACTGGATATCCCTATTACTGACAGAAGTTTGAGTCCCAGACCTGGTGTCTTGCTTTCTCACTTTCCCTTTCTCTCTCTGGCCAAATTAAAAAATAACAATAACAAAATGAAATAATTTTTTTTCCTTTTTTTTTTTTTTTTAGATTTTTGCTATAGTGTGTGCACTTGTCAGAAAGGCAGAGAGAGACAGAGAGATAGAAAGTGAGAAATCACCCCCCCCTGGGGGGGGATGGCCACACCGCAATCCCTTCTCCTCTCAGGATCTTGGGCACGCACACACACGCGCGCCTGGCATGAGTTTAAGCCACCGGATCTGGGACTCGAACCACGGTTGGCTATATGGGAGTTCAGCGACATAGCCATTATGCTAACTGCTAGTCCCAAAATGAAATAATTTTTTAAAAAGTACAATTCAGTATTTTTTAGCATACTCAGACTTATGCAACCATCACCTTAATTTTAGAACATTTCCAACACCTCCAAGAAACCCCTCTACCCAGCAGCAGTGGCTTATTTCCCCCAAGGCCCTCAGTCCTAGGTAACCACTATCGGAAACATGGCCTTCTGTGTCTGGCTCCTTTCACTGATGTAATGTTTTCAAATTTCCTCCATACTGTGGTATGTATCAGTATTTTATTCCTTCTTATTGTCAGGTGAGATTCCCTCGTGTGACTGTACCACATTTTCTGTATCTGTTCATCAGTTGCCAGCACTTGAGTGGTGTTCACCTTCTGGCTGGTAGTGATGCTACCGTGAACACCTGTGTTTGTGCGGATGTGTGTTGTCATTTGTCTTGCTGTCTAGGTGATTCTGATGCACACAAATGTGGGCAGTGGTGCCTGGCACGCCCAGTTCCCATTAGAGGGGCTGGGAGGCCCTGCCCTGCACATCCTCCCAGCTGTGCTCACCCCCCAGGAGCCTCTCCACCCCTTGCAGCCCTTACCTGAAGCTTGCGCAGGGCCAGCAGACCTGCCCCCTCCGCCTGGCAGCCAGTCAGGCAGCCACTGTGGCTTCCCTTGCAGGAGGTGGGCCCCACCATGGTGGGCGATGAGCACTCGGATCCAGAGCTGATGCAGCATCTGGGGGCCTCGAAGAGAAGTGTCCTGGGAAACAACTTGTAAGTAGGGACACCCTCAGCACCTTCTCCCCGCCAGCTTCTAGACCTGCCCGTTCCCTTCACACAGCCACCAAGCCCAGGGGCAGGCCCGGCCTGGAGCTCCCCTGCCTACTCTGATGGCTAGTCCCCAGTCGCTGGCTGTGAGAGCCGTCCCAACAGCCTTCCCTCCGTAGGTGGCTCACCCTAGTAGAACCCCAGGGCAGTCTGTTCCCTGGGTCTGGCACTCTGCAGTGGGCTGCTCCTTGCCCTGGCCTCCCCCTCTAAGCTGGACGCCGTCGAGCAAAGGCAGGCACAGAGCTGTCCTGCAGAGCTGGCTGAGAAACAGAGCGAAGCCCTGGGAAGCCCTGGTCCTGGTCCAGCTCTGCAGCTGCCTGGGGGCGTGGCCACCTCCCTGGGCATCCTTCACCATCTCCACGTACACCGGCCGTTTCCTGTTCTACACTCTCACCCTTCCTAGCTCGGAGCAGGGAGAGCACTGGCTGCACAGGCTGACTCCTGAGGAGGGCCGTCAGCCTCAGCCTCAGTTGGGAGGGAGAAAGAAGGCCACCTCTCCCAGCCCTTGGGGCGCAGCTGGAAGGCAGAAGGTAGCCCCTGGACTTTGCTGAGAGGCATTTGCCTCAAGATGCCACCTCAGGGCTAGAGCCCTTTATCTCTTAAATAGCCCGGAGTCAAACCTAAGAAGGGAAAGCAAGCATTCTCTGTGCTAGGGAGTGGCACCCAGAGCCAGGGCTATTGAGGGCCGACCTCGGTGCCAAGGCAGCAAGGGGGCACAGAGACCTGGGTGAGGAGCACCTCACAGCAGCACTCTCCCTGGGCAGCAGAGTGCCCCAGCACGCGAGGCTGGAAGGCAAATGTGGGGTCTGCCATGATGTGGGAAACCGCCCTTCACTAGGCTGTTGGGAAAAGAAATGAGATAAGCCATGTAAAGTGCTTGTGGGGAGGGGGCCAGGGGGTGTGCACTTAGCCTGGCTCCCAGGAAGTGCCCCACAGCTGCTGGTCTCTGAGTGCTCCCGACAGGACTGCTTGGGGCAAAGCCCAGCTGTGGGGGTGCTTGCCCTCTACCCCTCATGTCAGGCGTCCTCGTTCCTTTGCAGCTGGGAGTACTACGTCAACGACCCTCCTCGCATAGTCCTGGACAAGCTGGAACGCAGGGGCTTCCGTGTACTGAGCATGACAGGGGTGGGCCAGACGCTGGTGTGGTGCCTGCACAAGGAGTGACCTTCTCATGCTGACTTGTGGGTGGGACACCCCTTCTTCGGAGGAGCTGCTACCCCCGAGCCTCTGCCCTGGCCTTTTTTCACCTGAGATCGTCACTTTCCTCACCCTAGCACCAGTGGGCAGTGGGCAGCCTTCCCTGGGGCCCTGCCTTGGTCAGTGGGAGAGGGCAGGCCCCTTGCCCTGGTACTCCCAGCTGCTCTCCAACTTCAGGCCTGGTCCAGGGCCTTGGGGTAGGCCATGTTCTGTGGGCAGGCTGCCTCTGGCAGCTCAAGATCTGAGCAGGGTCCAGTTTAGCTAGTCCAAGTCAATAAAGGGTCGTGATGAGCCGTGCCCCTCTGCACTGCTAGTGCACTGACCGCCACTATGGGCAGCCCGGCCCAGACGAAAGCTGAGGCTGGGCCCAGATCCCTACACTATGCACAGAGCAGAGGTAGGCTCCTTAAAAAATATTTTATTGGTAACACTTAAGAAAAGGGCCGAGGGGTGGGAGGGCTGGAGCCGGGGCTATGTGGGCTGCCCCTCCTGGTCCTCCCGCTGCATCTGGGCCATCAGCTGCTGCCGTTCCGCAGCCTGGCGCATGCGCATCATGACCAGGCTCTCGTAGTCCCTCTCTGACAACACCGAGCCCTGAGGACAGACAGGACAGGGAGGGTCAGTACCACAGATCCAGACTGAGAGAACAGGGCCTAAACAGCTGCCTCTAGGAGTCAGGGAGGGAGGGCGGAGGAAACCTCCAAAGTCCTTCTGCCAACTCACCCACGCCCATTCAGGTAAGCAGGCCTCAGCCTATCTCAGCCGATTACCTCTGCACCCCCTCTACCCAGGCCCTTCACGTGGCGGTCAGCTCTGCTTCCTCTTCGTGCACATCACGTCCCCACGCAGTACTCCGGCCCTGTGTCCCTCACTTCAGTCAGCCCTTCTCTGACACTCCCTGCTCGGCCTCTGCCTCACTCGGGTCTCCAGTGCAGGGAAGTGCTGGGCGGTGTGGGGAGCCACGTGGCTCTGCAGGGCTACACAGCACTGCCCACCAGCTGCTCGGCTCTGCGTCAGCTAGCTCCTGCTGAGGACGCGGGAGCCCTCACCCGGACAAGCCTCGAACAGCCCTGCCCTAGGAGACGAGTGAGCGCGAGGCCGGCTTATCTCCTGAAAATACACGCCAGGGCTCCTGGAGGGCAGGGCCCACGGCTCGCTCTTACATGGTCCTGCCAGCACAGTGCGGGGGGATTGGGAGTGTTATATTTTCATAAGCAAAAGAATAATAAACAACCAGGTCACAGGGCCAGGGCTGTGGGGTGGCGCAGCAGCTCGCAGTGCAGTCTGAGTTGCCAACCCCACGCCCTGATAAGGTCTGCGGTGGGAATGAAATCACTTCCTCAGTGCAGCTGAAGCTGGTGCTGCTCACATGGTCCCTGAGAAATGGAAGCCCACCTGAGCTGGACCAGAAGCAAGCCAGGTCAGGGGCTGCGCAGCATGGTGTCCTGTCTACAGAGTGCTAGTGAGCCCTGCTCCGTGGCATGCCACACTGGGGCACAGGCCAGGAGGAAACGTGTGGGTCAGTGACCGAGGGAATGAGCAGGGAGTGGCTGGGGTGAAGATGCCAGGCCCCGTCCAACTGGTTTGGAGTGAAGGGTGCTCAGAAACAGGAAGTGTTCCTCAGCCTGGACCAGCCTGCTCCTCTGACAGGCCCAGCGCCTCCTCTCTCCTGGCCAGGGCCCCTGTGGAGGTCGGCCCCACAGGGCTGGTGATCCTGGAAGCCCGTGTGATGTGGCCCAGCCCCGTCCACAGAGGGACCCAGAATGAGGTCCAGTGGCCAGAGAGCTGTCTGCGGGAGGCAGAAGAGCCTGGCCCGCAGCTGCCCTCCGTGCCTGCCAGGAGGCCATCTGGGTAAAGCGAGGGAGGATGAGGAAATCGAGTTGCCAGACAGGATGTCGGGCCAAGGGGAGGGCACTGTCCCCTCCCCAAGTTCATGCTGTTCCGCCAAGAATACCTGGAGTCACCCTCAGAGCCGACCCGGGAGGAGCCACGCCTTGCCCAGGCAGGGGCTGCACCCTCTCACCACACCCGCCTGCCAGGAGGCCATCTGGGTAAAGCGAGGGAGGATGAGGAAATCGAGTTGCCAGACAGGATGTCGGGCCAAGGGGAGGGCACTGTCCCCTCCCCAAGTTCATGCTGTTCCGCCAAGAATACCTGGAGTCACCCTCAGAGCCGACCCGGGAGGAGCCACGCCTTGCCCAGGCAGGGGCTGCACCCTCTCACCACACCCTCTGCCTCCTTCCCCTGCTGTGCCGATGCTAATGAGGGCCTGTGGCAGCCTGGGGCTGAGTCACCCACACGGGCAAGCCTCTCTTGGGGCCCTGATGACAAAGGGAGCAGCGTGGTGACACATGAAGCGGGCTGCCCCCATGGAGTCCCAGAGGAATCTAAAGCTCCCCAGTGCCCTGGGGTGTTGGTCCCGGCTGCCCCAATCCCTGCGTGCAGATGCTGCAATTACCCAGTATGAAACCCGGCTTCCCACCTGACTGAGTCAGCTGGGCACACAAACGCGCCGCGCACACGGCACACGCCAAGCCAGTCATCAGAGTCCGGGAGCCGGCAGAGGGCACGGCACTGCCCGAGCAGGCACGGGGGCCAGGAAGCGCCAGACAGAGCCCCACACCTCTGCCTTCCTAGCCCGGGAAGGCCACCTCTGCGCCGCCCGGCTCCCTCACTCCGGCTCCAGTAAGTGCTGCTTCCTGGGGGTTGTCCACTGCCCTATTGAGTGACCAGGCCACCGCTGTCCTTGGGGGGCATCTTACCGCCAGGAGCTCCAACTCCCGGTGCTCTGCTGCCCTGGACAGAAACGCGCCCGCTGCCCAGGCCCCATCGCACCCTCGGAGATGCTGGCGGAAGGCCGGTGCTGGGCAGAAACCCGCAGCCTCTGACGGCCCACCGGGGCGCCTCCTCCCTCGCGGCCCTCGGGCTGCCCTGCCCCGGCCGGGCCAATGCCCACCAGCTGCCCTTGAACCTCGCCTGCGTGCTCCCCGGGACCGATGGAGACCTGGCGGAAAGGCTCCTTCCGGAATGCCTCCTTCTTCAAGCGGCTGAGCCTGGGGCGGCCGAGGCGGCTCCGGGGGCAGGGCAGCGTGCTTAGCCAGGCCAGCACAGCCGGTGGGGACCACGAGGAGTACAGCAACCGCGAGGTCATCCGGGAGCTGCGAGGGAGGCCGGATGGCCGGCGCCTGCCACTGTGGGGCGACGAGCAGCCCCGGGCCACCCCGCTG